AGAACAACTTAGTTATACTGCCTCAAAAACCAGACTCATTGCCGTAGAGTTGATTCTGACCCTATAGCGACCCTACAGGACAGAGCAGAACTGCCCCATAGGGTTTCCAAGGAGTGGCTGGTGAATTTGAACTGCCAACCTTTTGGTTAGCAGCCAAGCTCTTAACTACTGTGCCATCAGGGCTCCACTGCCTCAAAAGTGTATATTATATTAACAGAGATGTTCTCAACATTATAAAAACATAGGCTTATACCCAAAAGATTAAAATTATTTTAAGGATTCATAATTGTCTATGTCAGCAAGATACTGGGGAGTCAAGGACTCTTTAGAGAGAGTCCCAGCTCTTTCTATTTTTAGTTTTACAATCTTTCAATGAGCAGACTGAGATCTCATCTATAAATCTAGGATAAATAACTCCTGTTCTACTTTTTACATAGAGTTATTGTAGGGATCAAATGAGATCACAAACCAACTCAAACTCCATTTTAGAAAAAACTGAGATATTAAAAAATAATTAAGTTAATGAGATAAAAGATGAGATCTTGTTTTGTAAATTGCAAAGCTCTGAAATAGTTTTGTTTTGTTTTTTTCTTTCAAAAGACTTTAAAAAATAGTCCTTACAGGCTCTCACCTAGATTTCTGAAATAGATTCCAGACACTTCCCTGCCTCCAGTCTCTCACAATTGAAATTTATGCTTCATAAACCACCATCTGATCCGTTGTCTAAAAACAAGTTGTTCTCCCTTTAAAAACATTTTAGAGAAATCTAATACCTACTAAAGTTATTATAAACTCCTTGATTGTGTATCCGGGGCTATTGAGATATGGACCAAAGCCAATAATAACTAAATAGTGGAAATAGCACTGGAGTATGCCTAGATCAGAGGCCTTGAAAATGACAAGTAATCTTAGACAAGTATTTAAAAGCTTTTTGCAGTATAGTTTCTCATAGGTAGCACCTTATGTATACATGCATACATCTAGATATAAATGGACATTTATTGAGCAACTACTATATTTTAGGCACTGAGAATAAAAGGATGAATAAATTATTATGCATAGTATGTAGTCCCTTCAGTTTTGTGATTCTATTGTTGAAATCTGATTGCCCATTGTTGCCCTACAAAGACCCAATGCCTACTCACTACCCAAAATCCACATTGTTTGAGGATTATGCCAACCTTAGCAGTCAATTGGTTACACATCTTTCAAGGTTCACCTTAAAGGCCATGTCTTCTAAGAAACCTTCCCTAACCCCTGAATGAGATGGGATTCCTTCCTCCTTTGAACTCCTATAACATTTAGTTTTTCTTTCTCTAACTGTAATACAGCTGGTATGCTTTTCCAGACACAAAGTCTATTACCCTTACTGATAACAGACTTAAGAGTAAGGCCTGTGTTTTCTCCCTGGTGACTCCTGTAGGGCCCAGCACAATGCCTGATGAGACATCTGCCCTCACAGGAAACAAGCAAGAAACTTCTAGAGGGTTAGAGCTTACTGTTTCTACCTGTCGTGACATAAACTAACGGTAAAAACAGTTAAAGCCCATACTGATCACATAGTGTTCTCTGACAAGATGTATCAGGCAACAGTCCTAGGATGGTGTAGCAAGCAGGAGAGCACATACCAGTCTTATAAGAGAAATAATCAAACAATGACTAGCAATGGTGAACAGTTATTAACACTCTAAAAGGTTGAACCATATGAAATTTTTACCTACAAAAATGGCAATTTCATATGGTTCAACCTAGCACATTGCTAATTTATATATTCTTTATCTACCCCCATCTTGGCCCTGCCTTTCAATGTGTCCCCGTGAGGGGTGGGGGGAGTTTTGCATGTTCCTGAAACATAATGGCACTCAGGAAGTATCTGCTGGATTAACGAATGAATTTACTAAGAACCTACCATTTGCCTTAACACTCTGCTATGTGATTTACACTTTGTACACCATTTTCTTCCTCATAATATCCTTATTATTCCCATTCTTCAGATGAGGAAACTGAAGCTTAGAGAGGTCAAGTAACTTGCCTAAGACCATACTCTAAACCACTACTTTATGCTAGGCCATTTACATTTATGCTATAAAAGTTGTCGAAATTAGGACTATCTTTCCTCTTTTGACGAGAGCATGCAGAGATTTTACTGGGAACAGTGAAAAATTTTATGATTTAAAAAAAAAAAAAGAGAGAGAGGGAGAAGCAGATGAGGTAGGGAGAGAGATCAGTCAATAGGTTTGGGGAAGCCCTTTATTCTTGGCGAAATGTAGTATGAAACAATATCTAAAAATTATTCTCAATCCTTCAGGTCCGGAAGGTGGGGCTCTTTAATTGTCTTGAGA